TGGCTCCCGCTCACTGGCTGAGCGAGGCGCGGGAGCAGCACCGAGGGTTGCAATCCCATTGCCGGTCCCCGGTGCGGTATGGGGGCAACACTGAGGGTTGCGATCTTTTGCCAGACACGGAAAAAAACAAAAAAAAAAAAAAAAAATTAAATTCTGTTCAACTAAGCTCCAAGTACATAGGTCTTGTCATAAGACTTTTATTCAAAAGCCTCTAAATTATTGGGTTTTAAAAAAAAAGTATTGATTAATCACTGGCCTCCAAATTACATTTCTCATAATTCTCTTAGAAAATGAAAAATATAGTTTAATCTGGTAAAGTAGGCTTTATCATCTTACCATGTCTCTCACATTTTCCCTCATTTTCCTCCTTTATTTTGTATGGAAAAATAGGAGAAAAGGAGCTTTATTTTAGACATGTTTTCAAGACTTTAGTAAGGAAGGATATAAATATAGCAACATTGTGGACAAGCTCCTTCTGCATCTCTCTATATTGTTATTATTATTGTTGTTATTATGTTGTTATTATTATATACACAAACACACAATCACAGACAGACATATCCATCTCTCTCCCTAACTCACAATATTCTATTTATTTCAATCCCTGTCTCCAAAATTCAGAAACAATCTCTTTCAAGTGTAAGAGATTAAATCAGTGCATCCTAAGATAATTCACCAAGAGGAAAAAAAATAATAAAACTAAAAAGGGACACAGAAGAACACTAAATGATAAAAACCCAAGCATTGGGGGCCTCTCTACCTTCCCCTAATTTATACCACAGAAGCAAGCAGCCATATTATCTATCTGTGAGATTAGGAGTGTGTCTTTCTAGCTGGATTCACATTCTCTTTTTCTACCTTTTTATCTTCCTTCTTAAAATGACTCTCCTTCCCTGTCTTTCTTGCTCATGGAAGACAGGCAAAGAAAGAGATGGATGTGAGATCAACCAATACAGAGACCAAAGACATTTTCTGACAGGCATTAACTTTATGGGCATTATTGTCTCCATGGTATAGACCCTGAAAATCCATTTCTGATTTTGAAGATATGGCCTCGTTGAATGGACTTATCAATGTATACAGTAAGTGTGTACTTCTCTTATCATGAGTCATTTCTGTTTTTCCAAGGAAAGTGTTTCTATGGTTTGCTGATCCAGGAGATTAGTTTGAAAGAGAAAATGGGAAGAAATAAAAGACAAATTAATAAATGAAAACACTGACGTTGTGCATAAGCCAGATATGTCTTGACCTGTTTTTTTTTTGGGGGGGGGGTTCTTATTTGTGACCGGCCGCACTGCGCTCAGCCAGTGAGCGCACCGGCCATCCCTATATAGGATCCGAACCCGCAGCAGGAGCGCTGCTGCGTTCCCAGCGCCACACTCTCCCGAGTGTACCACGGGGTCGGCCCTTGACCTGTTTTCTAAGGCCAAGCCATGCCTTTTCCTCTACTATAAATCATTCTCCAACAGATGGTCCGGGTCTTCTCACCATGGAACTGCAGCAGCTTCTTCTTCGTGTATACCAGCAGAGCCAATTTCTTAACAACTTTCCATTGAAAGTTCTACTCCTTAAGACTGGTATCTCTATTTCTTCCAAAGTGAGAATTTATTAATGAGAATAAATTTTATTGTAACATGCTAATGAGACAGGGAAATATTCTCTTCTGTCTGGTAAGCACATTGTACTTTGTTAGTGCCTTCCTGGAGATAATGGTCTCACCTGTGTCGAGACCCACATTTCTTTGTATCACTAGATAAAAGGAAAATTTTACATTCCTGAACAGTAGTGTTCGGGAAAGCAGAATCATGCTATGATATTCTTTATATCATACTTACTTTGTTGGCCTAGGTCTCCAATCTTTAATGCTAAGTAAAATCATATTAAAATCCAGAAAATTTCAACTGTTATTTATGTTGGTCTGCTTACCAATAGAGTCACCATCATCCCAGAAAAGGTAGCCATCTGCTGTTTCATTTTCATTTAGAGCAATTATGAGGCCAAAAGGATTCATACGGCTATAGAAAGAGAGTCAAAATTGGTGTTTTCTTTCATAGACATGTATTTCAGGGTTAGAAGAGCTAACCCCAACCATATCATAGAACTATCCAGAAAACCATTGAGTGCTTTCTTAAACATCTTTACCAAATATTCAGTTTTTGTTTTTACCACATGTTCAAGTTTATCCTTGAATAGCTCCAGTGATAAGAAACCTATTAAGCAACCTATTTCTGCCTCTGAATAGCTCAATCTGAAAAAAAAAAGTAAAGGTTTTTATGATTAATAAAATGATATCATTACTATACCATGATAATTGAAGGTGCACTGCTCAGTGTCTTTTGCTTGTCTACAACAAAGAGAAAACTATAACAAAATTGCCACAAAGTCATTGGATTAAGGATCCTGGGAGCTGATTTTAAAGTATGACCAATGGGATTCCAGGGTAAATGAGGCTTGAATAATAATTCGGAGATTCAGCACAGCTGGGAGTTGTGTTAGTATCTCAAGAGCAAAAATGCAGAGTCCATGTCCCCCATTTTTGTGGTTCCACCATGGAAACAGGACTCAAGGATTTGATCCTAGCCGCTTGGCAAGAGAAAATTGCATAATGAGAAAAGAGCTACACAATGCAGGTGATGAAACAAATTTACTTCTGGAGAAGTTGAATGACAATGAGATTTCTTCAGGGAAATGTTTTGGTTTCATATAAAATACACTTATGTCATATTTTTCCTGTTGAAGTGTAAAGTTACACGAGACCCTCTCTTTTTTGGCAATGAACAACATAAAAACCTGAAATTCAAATGGATCTGTTATTCAAGTTAGTGCTTGGAAACTATGAATCTAGTACATCATTCTGGGGATGCTAAGGGTCCTCCCAGTATTTCAAAAATGTCTAGACAAAACTTCTAATAATGATGTATATAACTATCTGATTTTATTTTCAGTTAATACTGATTAAATGTTCTGATTTGCAATTATGTATTTTTGATGTAAAATATAAATATGAACTAATTATTACTTCTTAAAAATCTGCTTGTTTTCTTGACAAAATCTCTGATTACATGATTATCTATGAAGCAAAAATGGCTAATTAAGTATAACCTAAATGGAAGAAAAGCTTGGGGGCCTGACCTAGTCTTCATATATACCTAAGAGAGAATTCATGTATTGGAAATCACTAGCTAACTTAATAATAGAAAGATGTTTAGGGAAGAATAGCTTGAAACTGAATCAAATGCTCAGGCAGAGTATCATCTTGTAACCTCTCTCACTTCCTTTTTCTTTTCTTCAGTGTTCACACATGTGCACACTCCAACACATGTACAAACTCATACATAGACAACTAATTGTACTACTGGTTGAGCCCTCAATCAGTTTGATTTAAACACATCCCCTCTTCAAACACTCCCCAAGAAGGTTGACCATACTCAGTGCGAACAGATGGGATGTGCACTTACCTCAGCTTCGTTGTTCTGGCTGGAAACTGTGTAGGCAGAATATATCCTCCCCTAATGAAAAGAGGAATTACATCTAGAGGAGCAGGAACTTCAACAAACTTCTTCTGCCAGGTAGGTGGTACTTGGCCCCCCTAGCATAGAACAAGCCAAAGTTAACTGCTCCGATTATGTGACATGTGACAAGTAATACATGTCAGGAAATGTGGAGAGTTGAAATCAAACGTCTGTTTAAATTCAAAAAAGTATGCATTGACTAACAGGAGGGGTGACTTAAAATTTCTAATTGATTCTTTGAGAGGAAAAAAGAAAAAAAAACTCCAATAGGTAAATCCATAAAAGGAGAAATTATTACTATATACTTATTTCAAAAGTTCAACCACATAACCACATTTACTTACTAAAAAGTGTTAAAAATTAATAGAATAACACTTTTATGAGAGAATTTTTATTTTACTCATTTTAAAAGTTCAATTTTATTGAGAAATAAAATTTAATGCAAATAGTTCTAGAAATTGATGAAGTATTTGAGACCATAGTTTGAAAGCCATTGATTTAATTGTTTAAGACACTATAAAAATCTGCCTACTAGAATAAAGAATTATTAATACCAATCCTTCAGTCATAACTAACTGACAATTTAAAGATAATTCACATATCCTTTCTTCCAATTTGGGATTAGTCCTATGTTTACAGTCAAAATTTATTCCCATAAAAATTTCTTGAAAATTTTCTGGATAAGTTTAGCCAGTGCTCATCAAAACTTACTAAAAGAATGGGGGGAAAGAACTCATTAGTTATAACTGCTCTATTGTAGAGATGTCACATTGCTTCTCTTCACATTCCACCACCCTCCCCCACTGTGGCAATCATAGGTCCCACTGCCTAGGAGATTAGGTGTAGTTTGGATGAAAAGATGAGTTGGATCAATTTTATATCTCTTGAGAATCTGAACTACAAAACATGGAAAGAGCATGCCACTAATCACAGAGACCAAAAAGATGTATAAAGAGACAAATCTCTTGCTAGGGTCAAAGAGTCCATGGCAAGTTGAGGCCCCTTTGGAAACCAGTTGTTAGTAAAACAAAAAAACAGTGCCATGAAATGCCCAGCCCTGTGAATGGCACACCAGGCTGAAATTTCACAAACTCTTGCAATCGGATCCTGAATTTCTTCATGAAATCCAGTGCTATTACAGTTGCTGTTCTTGGATTTCCATAAGATTTCCTTTGTCAATTTATGTATATCCCTCCCATAAACCTCATACTAGAGCTAGCTTGAATGGATTTCTGTTTCTTGCAAGACAAAGTACTTGTCTCATGAGTTATATATATATAGTCATTATCACATTCTGCTATAAAGGAACATCACTGTGGGACTTCATTTGCTCTTAAGAATTTAAATGTTTGCATAAAATAAATAAATCCACTGTTTTTAAAAAATTATCCCATCTCTCATCTTAAATATTTGCTAATCTATATATGACCAATTCCACATTTTGAGACTATCAAACAATTTTTAAAAAAGGACTTCACAAACAACAAAATTATCAGAATTATACAGTTCAAGGCTCTAGAAGTCATATAAAGACAGTGAAAAAGATACCATGTCAGTCTTTAAGTGAATGAATTTACATAATTTTTTTCTATAAAATGTTGAAAATACATACTGTATAAAAGTCGAACCACAATGCTTCAGGAAAATACACATTCAAAGACCTTGCACCCTTGAGGAAGAGAAAATGTTTGACTTTTTAAAATATTTCCTTGAATTAAAATATTCCAGTTAAAACGCACTAGGCTCTTTGGATATTGAATTCTATATTATTTAGCATTAAAACCAAGTGCTAGTCAACTCATAAATGATTATGCAGCAAAGCTAGAGAATCTACGTGAAAGATTCATGTTCTATCGGAAAATATATTTCACGTCTAGATTATGGAATTTTAATGTATACTGTTCATAATGTTTTCTAAAAAACATAAAATTGTTTGCTATGTTTCCAAATATTGCTAATTCTCACTACAATATAGGTGTTATTTTATTACTGGCTGTACAATTTATGGCATTTTAATTCAACTAACATTGTCATATAGTTATAAAAAGACATAAAGTATAAAATGCTTTATAAATTGATTCCAAAAAATTTTTGTTTAGTTATTAAAAAGTGTATTTCTTGAGCACTAAGTATAAAAGGATGAACAAAACTGACAAATCCTTGTCCTTAGCAGTTTAAATTCTAGCTTGTAAGGCAGAAAATATCTACACACACACAAACATATACACACTTATATAAAGGTATATAATTTTTTACATATAAATACACATACTTTTAAAAAATGTACTGATAAAACATCAAGTTGCTGGAGCAAAGAACAATAAGAAGAAAGCTTACCTAAATAGGATGATCAGAGAAATCTTCTCTGGAGATAACATTTTAACTAAGATTTCAAGGATGAGAATAAATGAGCCATGCGAAGATACAGAGGACATCAGAGGCCAAAGAAACTAAACTGTGAAAGATCTTGATTTCTTACAAATACTGAAAGAACCCTAGTTTGGCTGGAGTTGAGTGGGCAGAACAAAGCCCAGCCTGGGCTGATGTTGGGGAGATAAGCAGGGTCCTTGTAGGGCCTTGTAGGCCACAGAAGGGGAAGTCACTGGAAGCCTGATGTGACCTACTATTTAAAAACATCATTGTAGGTGTGAGGAAATTAGAGAAGGCAGGGTTGTTGGGGTGGCAGATGGGGAAGCTGGCAGACCACATGGAGACTTTCAGTAGTGTAGAGACAACAGAAGCTTAAACCATACTGGTAATCATAATGATAGAGAGAATTGGGGATATTACAGATATTTTTTGGTAAAAATAATAGTAGGTGGTAGTTGGTAATGAATTGAAGAGGGATAATTTCTGGTAATTGTGGCTTCAGCACTGTGTGATAGGTAGATAGTGATTACTTCTGGAGCTGGGGTGTGTGAGGCATGGAGAATCCTGATTGTAATAAGGCATTCGCAGGCTTCAGAGGTGAATGGCAAAGTTCTATTTCTTAGCCTGGGTTGAAGTATTCACTGAATAATATTCATTTGGTTTTCCATATCTGTGTTTTATTTTATAATGAACAATATTTTAAGTCATTGTAAAAAAATTTTTCAGTGCCAAGAGAAAAATGCTTGTCAGAAAATTAAATTAGACTAGAAAAAGAATTTTCTAGAATAGGATTATTCCTGAGGAAGTGGGAGATGTTTGGAAAAGGAGAAATTGCATTTAGTAAGCTGAGGTAGCAACACAATTTAGGAAGATTTTTTGTAAGTTAAATGAAGTGATTTGTGCAAAGGTGCTCCAAACTTGTACACTCTATATAAATATACATTGTTAGTATTAAAGATGAAAGTATTAAATTGAACCAGATTTCAGCAAGATGGCAGAATAGGGAGTCCCAGCCCTTGCTCTCACACAGAAACACCAATTTAATAATAATATATGGATCAAAATTCCTTTATGAGAGGTCCAGAATCCAATTAAGAAGTTGCAGTACCCCAGATGAGAACAAAACCGAGAACAGCCATGTTGAAACAGGTAAGAGCAATTTCAGTTCACCTGAGTTGGCCTCAGCCCAAGATGGCACAGCTCAGCACCCACAGGGATCGCCTCAGCCTACAATTTCTCCCTCTAGAGAAAGAGATAGTAGAGCATGCATCCAGTATCCGAGTCCCTTTGGTGTGACACTGACTGCTGAGGGAAAGGACATAGTTAGGATGCCAGGGGGCAACTAAGAACAAAGAAAAAAAGTGAGCCTAGGAGACAGGGGTGTTCGAGCTGGCAGTAACCAGAGCCCAGAGCCCCATGTGTCCTCTCCTGGCTCAGCATAGAAGACGTGAAAAGGAAAAAGAAAAAAGAAAAAAAACAAGCTCCCAGGTTTTCCCTTGGAAGGGAAAGAGATGGACTGCAAGTCCAGTGCCCCAACTTTTCTGGCACTACATGGAGGACTGGCTTCTGTCTAGATTATCTCAGAGGGCTGACAGGACCCTGCATATTCTATCTACCTGAGGACCAGTGGGAATAGATAGGGTGATTTGATATTGCACACAGATAGTTGCCAAATAGTTTTGGCAAAAAAACCCAGATCCCAGATTCTTCCTGTGGAGAGAAAGAGTTGGACAAAGCGTCCAATGATCCAAGTTTTCTGAGGACTGCCTGAGGAACTGTCTTCAGTCTTGCTTGTCTCAGAGCACCGATCCAGCACAGTCTAGATGCCTGGGGACCACTAAGAACACAGAAAGCAAGCTGGACCATGTGCTATTGTGATCTAATAAGAAATATATATTTTGGTTTTCATCCCTGGCTCCTGGCCTGAGTTCCTAAAACTCTTGTAGTTTCCTAAGTGATAAGACTGATAGAAACATATTTTGTTATAATATTTGGGTTTTGTCCCCAGGCTCGGAAACAAAACAATAAAAGTAAAAGGAGCATCTTTTGTTATTCATAACAAACCCCTTTTAACCACACCTGAATTTACACTAATAAAGTGACTTCTGGAGGATGGGGGCTGGTTGCCAGTGGAATCAATCATGTGATTAGAGAGCTAGAATATTCAGCCCCCCACTGACCTCCAGGGAGGCCAAAGGGAGCTGCAGATTGAGTTCAAACACCAATGGCAAAGGATTTAATCAATCCATATAATGGAACCTTCATAAAAACCCTAAAAAATAAGGTTTAGAGAGCTTCCAGGTTGGTGAACATACAGAGGTGCTGAGAAGATGATGCATCTGGAGAGGGTATGGAAGTGCTGTGCTCCTCCCCGTGCCTTGCCCTATGCATCTCTTCCATTTGGCCATTCCTGAGTAGGATGCTTTATAATAATCTGGTAAACACAAGTAAATGTTTCCTGAGTTTTGTGAATCTCCCAGAAGGGAGTTGTGTGAACCACTGATTTATAGCCTATTAGTCAGTATTATAGAAGGCCCAGACTTGCAGTTGGTGTGTGAAGTTGGGGGAGGGGGAGCATAGTCTTGTGGGACTAAGCCCTTAACCTGTAGGGCTGACACAAACTACAGGCAGTTGGCACTGTAATTGAATTAAATTATAGGATAACCAGTTGTTGTCCACTGAGAATTACAGAACTAGTTGGTATGAGGAAAAAACATCCTCACATTTGGTGTCAGAAGTGTTGTGAGTAAGCATGAAAAAATAATCTATTTCTTTTTATATCAGTACAAAGGCTAGAGAGGCCACCAGAAACTCTGAGCAGGCTAATTGGTCAGTGTCTTCTCCTGTACAAGGCCAGTCCCATGAAGACTGGGAAAGATGACTGTTTTGTCTGATTGCAGACATGAATGTAAAGAATCAAAAAAAAAAAAAAAACAGAAACATTAAAATATGTTCCAAGGAACAAGATAAATTTTTAGAAACCAACCCTAATGAAACAGAATTGTGTGCTCTACCTGAAAGAGAATTTAAAATAACCATTATAAAGATACTCACCAAGGTTAGGAGAACAATGCCTGAAAAAAAGTGAGAATTTTAACAAAGATAAAAAGTATAAAATGTGCCAAACAGAAGTTATGAAGCTGGGCTGGCCCGGTGGCGCACTGGATAAGTGCTCCGCTTGGGAAGCACGGCGGCGCTCCCGCCCGAGGGTTCAGATCCCACATACAGACCGGTTCCCGCTCACTGGCTGAGCGAGGCGTGGGGGCAACGCCGAGGGTTGTGGTCCCGTTGCCGGTCCCCGGTCCGGTACGGGGGCGACACTGAGGGTTGCGATCCGTTGCCGGACACGGAAAAAGACAAAAAAAAAAAAGAAGTTATGAAGCTAAAGAATATAAAACTGAACTGATAAGTTTATTAGAAGGGTTCAGAAGCAGACTTGATCAAGCAAAAGAAAGAATCAGTGAACTTGAAGATAGGTCATTGGAAATTATTCTGTCAGAGGAGCAAAGAGGAAATAAAAATTAAAAATAGTGAAGAAAACTTAAGAGACTTATGGAACACCATGAAGCAAACCAATACATGTGTTATATGAGCCCTACATGGAGAAGACAGAGAAAGTACCAGAGAGCATAGTCAAAGAAATAATGGCTGAAAACTTCCCATAGCAGGAATGAAATGGACATCCAGATCCAGAAAGCCTAAAGAACATCAAATAAGATGAACCTAAAAAAAAATCCATACTAAGACACATTATAATACAATTGTCAAAAGTAAAAGATAAACAGAAAATTTTGAAAGCAGCAAGAGAAATCAGCTTGTCACATACAAGGGAATATCTACAAGACTATCAGTGAAGTTTTTCAGCAGGAACCTTACAAGCCAAAAAGGAGTAAAATGATATATTTAAAGTGCTGAAAGAAAAAACTGCAAACCAAGAATATCATACTCAGCAAAACTGCCTTTCAAAAATTAAAGTAGAGAGAAAGACTGTCCTGTATAAACAAAAGCTCAGGGAGTTCACCACCACTAGACCTACCTTACAAGATATCCTGAAGGGAGTTCTTCTAGTTGAAATAAAATGACATTGAACAGCAACATAATAGCATAAAAAAATACAAAACTTGTTGGTAAAAGTAAATATACAGAGAAATATAGAAAATTACATCATTATGATAATGGATAAAATACTTTGAATTTTAAAATAATAATCTAAAGACAGAACTATTAAAAATATAACTAGAAAATATGTTAATAGATGAACTGTAAAAATGGATGTAAATTGCAGTATCAATAGCATAAAATATGGGTGGGAAGTAATAAGAAATGTAGACTTTCTGTATGTGAATGAAGTTAAGTTGTTATCAGCTTAAAATAGACTATTATACTATAAGATATTTTACATAAAACTCATGGTAACCAAAAGGAAAATACTTATTGAAGTAATGGGGGTGGGGGATAGGGGAGGAAGGAATCAAAGCATATCAGTACAAAAAATCAATGAAACACTAAGCAAAACAGCAAGAGAGAAAAAAAGAAACAAAAAAATTATAAGACAAAAAATCAGTTGAAAAAATGTCAATAACAAATCTGTCCCTATCAATAATTACCTTATATATAAATGTATTAAACTATCCAATCAGAAGACATAGAGTGGCTGAATGGATAAAGAAACAAGATCCAACTATATGCTGTCTACAAGAAACTTACTTTAGATTTAAAGACACACAAGATTAAAAGTAAAGGAATGCAAAAGATAGTCCATGCAAATAGCAACATAAGGAGAAAAGGGATGGCTGTGCTTATATCAGACAGAATGAAATTTTAAGTCAAAATCTCTCACAAGAGACCAAGGACATTGTGTAATGATAAGGTCAATTCACCAGTAAGATATAATGATTATAAATATACAAGTATATGCACTCAACATCAGAACACCTAAATATATAAATCAAACACTGACAAACTGAAATAGACAGCAATATAATAATAGTAGGAGACAATACCCCACTTTCAATAATAAATAGAATGATTAGACCAAAAATAATCCAAAAGCAAACAGAGGATTTGAACAACACTATAGGCCAAGTGGATCTAACAGACATATATAGAACATTCTACCCAACAGCAGCAGAACATACAAGTACATTCTTCTCAAGTGCACACAGAACATTCTAAAGGATGGATAGGATGTTAGGTTACAAAACAACTATTAACAAATTTAAGAAGATTGAAATTATGCCATATCTTAAGGTATCTTCTAATTTTCCCTGTGATTTCTTCTTTGACCCACTGATTGTTCAAAAATGTGCTGTTTAATTTTCACTTATTTTGAATTTTCCAGTTTCCTTCTGCTGTTGATTTCTAGTTTCATTCCATCATATTTGGAGAAGATACTTGGCAGATTTCAATCTTCTTAAATTTGTTAATATTTGTTCTGTGACCTATCTATCCCTCCCATTGTGATTGAAGCATGGTTAAGGCAGCTATCTGGAAGAGTCAAGAATGTGGGTTTTGTTGAGAAAAGACTACACGAAGTTATTATTGTACTCAGAATAGGCTTCTTTGCTGTTATATTGATATAGGTGAAAAGGGGACTTCTATCTCTACTCTTTTAATGCAGCATATATTTTTGGAATCAATATCCTACTTCTGTGAATTATCTTGAGACCAATTTCAGAATTTCTAAGTAACAAAACATACATTTGTTTTGTTCAGATTTACTTAATGTGAAATATAATTTATGTGTGAGGAAAAATAAACATATAAGTACATTGTTTTCAAATATAAGAATTAAAATGATGTAAGAAAAATAGGGGACTATGGTAAGCCTAGACTGGTTGTAAGTATAAAATGGCACCAACGTAGACTGCTGTGAATAACTCTATTTTGCTGATAAAAAAAATTCTAGTACTTACCTCTTCAAGAACTGGAGCAATCATCAAAGCTGGCCCCCAAAGAAATGCTTTGTCAATTACATGAGTCTGAGGATCTGATGTAAATCTAGATTTTTAGAGTGAAAAACCATTAATTTAATTAATGTTTTTCTATGAATAAAGTCTTACTCAACCATCTCCAGTTCACAGTGATTGATAGAGTTTGGGTATGTTTCCCCCCCAAAGCTCATGTTGAAATCTGATCCCCAGTGAGGCAGTGTGGGAGCTGTTTGGGTGGATCCCTCATGAATAGATTAATTCCCTCCCTGGGAGTGGGGGTAGTGAGTGAGTTCTCACTCTATTTACTCCCACAAGAGCTGGTTGGTTTAAGGAACTCTGCCCCCTCCCCCCTCTCTCTCTTTCTCTCTCTTTCTCTCTCTCTCTCTCTGGTTTCCTCTTGCCATGTGATCTTGCACCCACCAGCTGCCTGCCACTTTCCACCATGAGTAGAAGCAGCCTGAGGTCTGCACCAGATGCAGCTGTCCCAGAATTGAGTGTCAGATAAACCTCTTTTCTTTATAAATTATCCAGTTTCAGGTATTCTATTATAGTAACATAAAAATGGACTAATACAGTGATCGACAGCAAAAAGACCAAAAAGACAAAAACACAGAAAGGTTTAGGGTACAAACCGTGTTTTAGGAATAAAAATCTAGTTGTCAGGTGAAACAATTGGCATCAGTTCTTTTCCCTGCCCAAAAGGTAATTGGGTGGTAAAGCTAAGGTCAAAATAGTGCCAAATAATCAAATTGTCTTATGGTTTTTGTTTTTCTTGTTTTTCTTTTTTGCATCCTAAACAGCTTTCAAGAATAGAGCATCAATCCCACCTCCTTCACAAAACTCTTTCTATTTTATTTCACGTTCACTTGCCTTTCTTTGAATTTTTACAGCACTTTATAGCCTATGCCATATAATCAGGACATAAATATATAATGTTCTATAGTGTACTCAATTTCTTTCAACTTTATTGATTGAAATTTTCCAAAGAACCATGTTTCATCCTTTTATGTATTTCACAAGGAACAGCCTTCATTTTTTGTTAACTGGTTGGACGTGCTTTTCTTTGCTAACTTCTTCAGATTTGTAAATTATTTTTATCATAGTCAGGAGGGGTGAAAACTAATTTGCCTTTTTTTTAATCACCCAAATAATACCTTTATTAGAAAAACTAAGACTTCCATGATCTACATGGTAGAAAATCTAAGACAAAAACAATTATTAAATATATTTACTCATGCATCAGTCCTCGAACCACTGTATGTCCAGTGACATGAGAATGGTAGAAAAGGGTGTATAAGTAAGGCAGCAGTGAATATCTAATCCTCAGTACAGAACGGGAAATTGCAGCAAACGCTTCGCCAAACACCCCAGGGTCTTGTTCCTATTAAAGAGAAACATTTCAATATACTTGTTACCTGAAGTCTAAATTTTTATAGTGTTATTTTTTTCTTGTTGTGGAAATTAGGAAGAACCAGAGAGTTTTTTAATATTACTTCTCTCTACTTATAAGCCTTTCACAGTTGTAGGCTGTTGCAGAGTTGTTTCTCAATTAAATGCATTCAATAAAATTTACATATTGTGGCATGTGGTGTGTAGTTTGCATGCTCAGCTACCAGCAAAGTTTTAAATAATTTTGAGATGGAAGATTGTTAGTATGTCTTCTCCTCAAGAGAGAGGGTGACTTCATACTCATTTAATTGAGGAATGATTCTGCATTCAGACTGAAGGGAGAATCTTGTACCAGATCACAGTACAATCTGCCTGCCATCAAAACAAAGACTTGAAATTTTAAGATATCTTCTAATTTCTCCTTTGATTTCTTCAAATTACTGAGCTACTGAGGACAATTTCAAATATCACACATTTGTATGCTGCTACCTTGTATTATAAATGGAAATTTTGTTCACAGGTTATTTAAAATGATGCAATATTCTCCCTCTTTTAGAAATTATAAACAATGTATTTTCAACATGTATTTCTTGTCATTCTCTCACAGCTCTTGATAAAATCAATAACATGCAAATTTTTTTAAAAACCAATTGCATATTTTTGACAGCTGCATTGAAGAACAGTTCAAAATTTTATTCATAATTTATGATTTCATATGTATCTTCTTTTAACCCATTTCTAACTACAGATTACTACTGAGTATAGAAGTTATTTTAAATTCACTCTCACTTGCCTTGTTCCTGATTGCATTATTGTTTCTGGAAAAGGGATAAAATGCCCCAAGTTGCATCCACCGCAGGCAAAGTTCATAAGTTGTGTCTTCATTAAACCCACATATATCAGCTCCAATCTGGAGAAAAAAATTATTTATTGACTTCAAAATATAACACTTATTAATTTTGTCATAAAGCCCACACTGAAATATTACAGATTACACTATTTTTAATGACAAAGATATTTAAGACCACGAGGAAATAAATTTCATGTTGTATAAGCTGAAAGTGTTAATATGCTCTTTGAGGAGAGCATATGGAATAAAATAGTGACAAGTCTCTCTTCTCCAGTCTTGATTAAAGAAAACTGTGGCTACATAGTGACATAGCAGGGAGACTTTTGGGTAATCCACTGCACCTAAAAACACTTATTTTAAAGTGCAGTGCTATAAATCTCCTGTTTTAATATGTTAAATTAAAAGACTAAACATTCACAGTGCATTTAGCTAATCCAAGAGCCTTAGTGGCTGATCCCTCAGGCTGGAACAAAAGGCCACAGGATTGCACCTGAATGTGCTCTCTTTTTAATCATACATTACAGACACTTTGCTTCCTGACATCTAGTGATGGCCTCTCTCAGTTCTCAAATTGTTTTATTCTAGAGCTTTTCTTGTTCTTTCAGAAATATAGCATTTAACCCCAAAGCTTCAGTTAATGTCTAAGTTTGTAGGTTAAAAAGTCATGAAGAAGTACAGCATGGAGTCATAAAATATGTTAATTGGAATAAAAATGTTAATTCCGCAAAACACAGAGATTCTACTATATACTCTGCTAAACTGTAAAATCTTCCCTGGAGAAAGAAGAGGTCATGTTTCCTTCCCCCCTAAAGCTGCTTATATTAAAAGTTATGCCTCTGTCAGTTTCTGATTCAGACACAAGCTGAATCTATATTTCATGTTCAATATTTATTTAGCAAGTCGTCTTTGAATGTAGCTAATCCATCACTTGAACAACAAATGCAATTCTCACTGTATTTGAGAAGTGATCATTTTATTTGCAACATTCCAAAATAAGGCAAGTATTGCTCTATACTTTTTCTTTTAAAAAATCATTGGGATTTTGCAAATCTGCTATGATAAAGATTTCTAATGTTAACATAGAAAATTCTCTAATAGCTAAGTTGTTTCTTTATCACTAGGGCTCAGATAAGAAGCAGTATGTTTCTGGTTTAATTTCATTTCCTCCCTTCATAGGACATGAAGACACCTCTGGAGTAAAGTTTCTATTCCTCCTTCCAAATTGTCTGTCCTTTCCTTTTTTCTGCATTATCTATAAAGCTCATAATAATCGGTTGTAGAGGAGTCATGAAAGGGTAAGAATAGAGGCAAGTGGTGACAAAATAAACTTCTCCATGACCAAGTGCTTTAGTGATAAGACAAACAGGTAAAAAATAATAATTTAAGAAAGACATGGTACTCCTGAGATCTACATGGGTAAAGGAATTATTATTTACAATGTCCTGAAAACAACTTGAATGTATTTTATTTTCATAGAGCAGATTTTGCACCCCTATATAATATTGATCAACATACAGGCCTTTATGTAATTGATTGTTTAATTTTAAAACTTACATATGGAATTCCAAAGAGATTAAATTCTAGCATTCCAATGATTGACATATGCATGTCTCTCCAGCGGGAATAGTTTTCACCCAGCCAATGGCCAGCATATTTCCCACTCCCAACAAATGTTGAACGACTCAAAACAAATGCTCTCTTTCTTGTAGCATTCTGAGAAGCACTGAAAAAAATGTAAGAAACTTTCATCAGTATTCTTCTAAAAAGATTCTATAATTTTCCTTTCCCTTGCCCCCCCCCAAACCCATGTTTTTAAAATGTGTGAACAACTCCCAATATTCAAATAATTCAAATATAGTCAAAAGTATAAATCTGTGTGAAGATGAAATGAAGGAAATGCATCAAGTAAAAAAAGAAATAACCATATATATAAACTATTATACACATTTTCTGAAAAAGCTGTTAAAAGCCAAGGCTAAGCATCCAAATCAAATTTTCCTACACTCAACTCTTTTTGTGAGTTATCCTACAGTTCATGGTTTCTCAACCCTGGCTGTATGTTAGAAATTTCCAGACTCAATTAAATTAGACTATCTAGGAATGGGGCCTGGACATAGGCATTTTTTAAAATTCTGTGTGACTCTAGAATGAAAATCATGGTGGTTTTTATACTAATGTTGGAAATGCTAGTAACTTTCTGTTGATAATTCATTATATTTCCCTAGTGAAACCTTACATGTATATGGAAAAGAATATTTGTGTATATTTTAGCAGCATTATTGTCAGTTTTTGCTGTGGCTATTTTTTGTTTGAGTTTAACTTGTATGTTTATCCACTTTTAAAATCAAACCTGGAAATTAAGAATAAACTGACATGGGCATTCAATCAAACAAATCTAGTTTAAAATCCATCCGGCTCTTCTATGTAAAATATATGTAACTTTGAACATATTATTTAATTACTATAAAATGAGGCTAATAACACTTAACTTTGCAGGATTTTTGTAATGTTTATAAGAATATATGTATATGCCTCTCACAACAGCTAGCATGTAAATTGCACCGAGCAGTTACGGACCCAAATCTGCTTCACCCTGGACAACTTAAATCTCAGTTTTAGCCATTACTTACCCAGAACTCCAGGACCAATCATTTTGTCTTTCAAGGATAAAATAATGAAGGGAAAAAGTTGAATTGATTGTAAGATTAAATTAAATGATAGAAGCTCTACTAATAAATTCAGTAAACACTCTTATTGCCTTGTCAAGGTGAATCTTGCTAATGCTTCCACTTAAAACTATTTTTATGTCTTCTGGGAAGTAATTTTTATTGTTTGAATTTCATTAAGTTCAGAATTTGAAAGTCATGTTCACTTAACCCTGTGATATGAAAAGTGCTCAGAAATATAATTCTCAACATCAAAAAGAAATACATGTCTAAATTTACTTGTCTTCTCCCTCCTCCCCCTTTTCATCCCCCCCTCCTCCTCCTATTTCTTTTCATTGCTTAAACTCCCTTATGAGTTAGACACAGCTAGTAGTTTCTTGGGTAACCTGGGTGTGAGTAGTACATTCTAAAGTCCACAGCAGTGATTTCTTGCTTTATTAATAGAAATTTGGAATCCTTATTAAAATAAGACAAATAAACCTGAAATAGTTATAAACCACTTAACTTCTTTCTGTTCTATAGCAGTGACATATGATTCTATTTTTTTATGTATTGTCGTTTTCATTTTTAAAAGTAACTTCTTACTTTTTTATAGTATAAGAGTAATTTTTGGCAGATATATTTAGCCATATTTAAACTATATATATTCAGAACTTTGCCTATCACGTTTACTGTATAGTTTATTCATTTTGTTTTCAGTTCAATCAAAACCTAAGAATTTTTCAGTAGTAGTTAAAAAAGAGCCTGGTTAAATGTCTCATGTTCATGTTCAGTTCCGTAATTATCTATCATTTTCACCAAATTTCATTAAGTTCTCTGAACCCATAGCTCTAGAAAAGTGGCTATAATCCAAAACACAAAAATGGTATATACTTATATATGACCAAAATAATCAGTTCTGTCTTGATCCTCATACCTTAAAGTCTGCATTTCTGAGCACTGACTTTATAAATCAAACAGGCTGACTATATATATATATATAGTCCATATTTATTTGTCAAAGTACTGTGATGAACCAGACTTGGAATGAAATCCTATTTCAGACAGACAAAGATGGCATTAAAAAGAAACACAGTGTTCTGTACCTGAGCCCATAACCTAATTCTCCTAATGCAGTCTAGGAGAGTCTCCTAACAGGCACACACAGGAAAAAATAGAAATGGTGTAACACAGCAAACCCTCATTAGAGAAGCAGAATGAGTCAGATGGTCACTGAGAAGGTGCTTCAGGATCTGGGATTGTTAACTCCAGGAGAAAAGACAAATTGTCTGCCAGGCTTGCAATGTTTTTCACTCAGTGTAATGGTATGCACAAATCCAGACTTGTGACTCTAATGGTGGAAACCTTACACATCCACATTTAACCAGGCTTTTTAAAAAATGGCTCTATTCAGAGCTGATGGCAAAAAAGGTCACTTAGTCAAAGTAATGTAAAGACAATATTAGTGTACATACCCCTAAAAAGTGGAGAGTTTGTTAACAATTACATTCTACATTATAAAATTGTCCCCAAATTCTGTTTTCTCTAACATTTTTCTGAAATCAAGACTTTAGTTTTGGCTGCCTTAGACAAATATTTATGCTTCTACTAAGATCATTCTACTCTGCTTTTGTGTGTGCAATAGGTTGTTAAAAATATGTGTAAAATCAATGAGAACATTTAACAAAAATAATAAGTAAGCAAGATAAAACATTAAGGGAGGAAGATTATTTAGTAGTCCTTAAGAAAGTTGAGAAATAATATAATAAAATGTAAACAATATGATAAAATGTAAGATCTGCTATATAAACAGATTTTCCTATTTCTTAAAGGATATTTTAATAATAATTTGTGAAATAAACAAATAAAATATTTCAAGAAGATTTACAAACTACTCACTAGAAAGTAGGTGCTGCTTGTGACCAGCCAAACAGAGAATGTGTATCGTAATGATATCCCAGATAAGTCTTGGAATCAGGGCATAATGTTTCTTCAGCCAAAAGTCTACCTGTGATATCTAAGGATGAAATGAAATAAATACACATTCTTAACATAATTTAAATATCCATGTTGTATTTTACTTGTCTGTTTACATGTTGGTCACCCTCACTAGTCTATGAGCTTTGTAAGGACATTGAATGTCTTTTTAATTAGTGAGAACAGTGTTATATCGACATGAAAAACATTTTAAATTGTATTTTGAATTTGAGACATAGTTGGATATATATTTCAAGACCAAGGTGGATTTGTCTCGGAAATACAAAATTAATTTATCATTGGAAAAATCAATCAGCATAATTTATATATTAACATATTTTTAAAAGCATATAATCATCTCAACAGATGTAAAAATGTGATAAAATTCTGGGCCGGCCCGGTGGCGCACTGCTACAGTGCGCCGCTTGGGAGCGCGGCGGTGCTCCCACCGAAGGTTCGGATCCCACATACAGACAGGCCGCTCACTGGCTGAGCGAGGTGTGGGCGCAGCACCAAGGGTTGCGATCCCGTTGCCGGTCCCGGTCCGGTACGGGCGCGACACTGAGGGTTGCGATCCATTGCCGGACACGAAAAAAGACAAAAAGGAAAAAAAGAAAAAGTGATAAAATTCAACTTTATTATTGATGAAATCTCTTAGTTAAATAGTAATAAAATAAAATTTCCTTTACCTTATCAGGGTTAACTACAAAAAATACTATAGCCAATTTCATACATAATTGTGAAATATTAAAAACATTTTATTGAGATTGGAAAAAAGAGGATGCCTGCTGTCACCACTTCTGTTCAAGAAGCCAACGAAAAAGAAATCAAAGGCAAAGAGATTAGAATGGGAACCATGCTGTAAATAATTCATCCATGATAATATTGTCTACATAGAAATACTAAAATATCAACAGATAAATTATGAGAATCAGTATGAAAGTATAGGAAGTTTTCTGGATACAAGATCAATACACAAATTCAAACAATTACATACTATAAATCAGTGACAAATAGTTAGTAAATGATTAAAAAGAGGGCATTGAAAATATAGAGAACCTAGAAATAAGATTAAACAATAAGTCTAACACTTCATAAAGACATTGTAAAACTTTACAAAAAAACTTAAAAGACAGATAAAGGGGAAAAAAATACCATGCCATTGGGAACTCTGTATTAAAAAGAGATCAATTCGGGCCGGCCCGGTGGCGCACTGCGCTAGTGCGCCGCTTGGGAAGCGCGGCGGTGCTCCCGTCGAGGGTTCGGATCCCACATACAGACCGGTTCCCGCTCACTGGCTGAGCGAGGCGCGGGGGCAACACCGAGGGTTGCGATCCCGTTGCCGGTCCCGGTCCAGTGCGGGGACGACACTGAGGGTTGCGATCCATTGCCGGACACGTAATAACTTCGTATAGCATACATTATACGAAGTTATACGAGGTAGTGAGTGAGTTCTCACTCTATTTACTCCCACAAGAGCTGGTTGGTTTAAGGAACTCTGCCCCCTCCCCCCTCTCTCTCTTTCTCTCTCTTTCTCTCTCTCTCTCTCTGGTTTCCTCTTGCCATGTGATCTCTTGAAGAAGGCCAAGGTAGGAAGACCTATTTCCCACCTTATTACAAAGCTTATTATAAATCAATAGAAATCAAGGCAGTGTCAAATTGGTGAAGGGAAAGAAAAATAAACCAATGGAACAGATAAATTAGTCCAGAAGCAATACACAGTATACAAGAGGTCTTCAAAAAGTTTGTGGAAAGATTCATATTATCTTTTAATTCCATTTTTTTCCATTAATTTTTTGAAGTACCCTCCTACGTGGATATCTACCATAAGAAAAGTAGTGCAGACCAGTGGGGGAAAGGATAGACTTTCTTTCATTGGCTCTGGGGTAATTCTTTCTCCATGTAGAAAAAAAAAAAGTTAGACTATTACCTTATACTGCTCAAAATCAACTCCAAGTAGATTAAACACCTAAATGTGAAATGGCAAAACTATAAAACATTTTTTAAATAATGTATCTTTATGACCACATATTCAAAAGTATTCCATAATTACAAATTGATAAAGAAAAGAACTAATAAATCTGTCAATATTTTAGTTAGAAACTGTGTTTGACAAAAAATACTAAAGAGAGTGAAAAGATAAGCCAGAAGTTATTAGAGATATTTATAACACATATAACTGAAAAATAAGGATAATAAAGCTGATGCCCAAATAGAAAAATGGAAAAAAAAAAAACCCTTGAACAGATCAATAAAACCTGAAAAGCCAGTGAGGAGGAAAAATGCTTAGTCTCATATATAATTATATATGCAAATTGAGTACATAATGAATTGACATTTCACATTCACCAGATTGACAAAAATTAAGATGACTGAGCAACCGTTAGTATTTTCTTCTGAAGCTCTGGCCAGTTTAGTGCAACGCCACCTTGTACTGCTTTCCTTCCTTCCCTGCCTCATTGCCCTCCTGTTCTTACTCTTCCTGCCGTAGGATTGCTTTTTCACCTGCCAACAAAGCCTTTACCAGACAACCTTTGCCAAAGTCTCTGTAGGGAATCTAGGCTAGGATGTCCTCTGCCACTTTTGAAGGTAATGGCATGGTAATGGTAAATTTCTAAAAAACAAAAAAATTTTGTTTTTTACTATTTTTTCCCCATTTCTTTAATTATTGGGGGTGGGAAATTCTGGGTGTGGTTTCCTTTTGCCATCCTCACTTAGAAGTCTCTGGTTATATTTGATTTTACGTTTCCATGTTGGTCACCTTCTCAAGACTGTCAGCTTCTTGGGGAAAGCTGTGTTGTAGGTTTGTATGCCCCACCATTTGAACAGATAGAGCACACAATGGGCATCTCTAGGATCTTGCACTGTGCATAACAGATAGCAAATGATCAATGAGTATTTGCTGAATGAATGATCCTTCAGCAAACATAAAAAGGATTCTCACACAGAGCAAAATAACTAGGAAATTATCTCCCATTCTGACAAGTAATTGAACAAGAGGAAATAGGCTTAAAGTTCATAACGACTAGGTTAAATACAAAGAAAAATTGGCAGAACAAATAGTGATTTTCTTCCTGAATATCTTTTAAAGCAGAAGTCTTTGCTACTGTAGTAGAAAATTTGAGCATTGTCATAGATAAATAAGGGAAATACTAAGTACCACTAACGTTCCCTACCACTGTGAGAGTCTTTGCCTCTGTATATACACAGAAAGAAGTGCAGATATCACAGAAGCCTGAACTTTCCAAAAAGGGGAGATTAGGACAGGAAGGGATTCCTCCCTCCAAATTAACTCAGTGTGGCAAATGAGATAAAACTGAGTTTTTATAGCCTCTGTTTTCTAAAAGCCACTTGCAGTTGGTATTAGCCCATCCTCTTCTGTTACTCTATTTCCATTAGAGGTCAAAGAGATGTAAATAATCAAGAATAATGCTTTGCATCCTATGAGCATCCCTCAAAATGTATTTTCTTGTAATATATCAACAAAAATACTCATCTCTGAAATACATTTGGGTTACATAGCTGAATCAAGATCAATAAGAGAAAAATTGCTGCATAAAAGTCTAAAATTTGAGAGAAATAACTTAGAAAGGTTATTAAAAGATGTACTCTCTAAGGATAGACTCTTCACAGTGCTTATAAAAAGAAGTTTGTGGGTTTTTTTAATGTACTAACTTTTATCATTTCATTTAAGTTTAGAGAAAAGTTTGCCTTTGACTGAAAAATTATTCTTCCCCATGCCTTGGGCTACATAGAATATTAACTCAACAATAGTGACTGTAATGCAAAGGGAAGTATGATAAGGATTTGCCTTTTTGTCCTGCTTCATAATCTTTTGCATTACTTGAAAAAAATAAAATGACAATGAATTTGAAAGGTTTTCAAACTCACGAGAGATTACAGACAGAAGCAAGACTAGCATGGGGTCTGTACCTGTCAGCCTGTTTGCACTGGATTCTGTCAAACAAACTCCAATCAAAGACAAAAGCTCAGTTTCTAGCGCCAGCTTCAAACCTGGACTTTTACATACATGACAGTCCTGCTCAGCTTGGATCTCTAGATAGAAATTTACCAGTGAGTACATTTCACTCTAAGCATGGTGGTAAAAGAGCCCAAATCCTAACCAGGGCTCAAGTCCTGGCACTGTCATTTACTAACACTGTGCCTTGAGTAAGGTACTTGACTACTCTGAGCCAAAGTTTCTTATCTGTCTAGAAGATGGGACTGGTAGTTCTTAATTCATTAGTATGTTGTGAGAATTAGATGAAATAATAAGTATAAAGAATAGGTCTTTTATATTATTACTTAGTTTAATTATTGTATTATTAATAATAAAACTTACCAATATGTTAAAAATAAATATTATAAATTATTATTTCATATGAAATAAAAATATTTCCTATTTTACACAGTCTCCTTGTACAACTTAGATCTTTTTAGGTCTAGTCTTAACCTGCCTACTAGGAGCCTGGCTATGTTTATTTGTTTAGCCTAAAATTAAGAAGCCTAATCTCAAGACATTTATCACAACTCAAGGTGAAGCTGCTGTGCACATCTAGCTGAAGAACTGATACGATCAGCCCTGGAGTGACATAAATCTGTAATAGCAGATAAACTGTAGCATGGAAAAATCATTTATCAAACTGTTAGTTTGGGTTTTGTTCTAGCAATATTTTTCTCCTCATTGTTTGAAGTTGTTTCAACATGTCCCCTTTTTTTCGACAGCTGTCTGTGAAGGCTTTCAGAAAAGCAGTAGTTCTCAGCAGACTTATTTATTTCCAACTTTTACCTCCAGAAATCCAATCTTTTTAAGGAAATTGTGTGAGGGGATAAGAGAAAGAGGTGTTTGCATACGAAGGCAGCGAGGGAAAAGAGGCAAATTCACCAAGGCTAGAGTCAGTCGGGGAGACTACTTTAAGTCACTAGGAAGGACAGAGATTTGGTGCCCTGCCTTTGGGCCATGCTCTCATAGTACCCTAGAGAAGAGAAAGGGCATTTGAAGGGAAGTGGGTATGCAGAGCACCTCAGGAGGCACCTGCA